CTCCTGTGGGTAGAAAGTGAGCCATCTCAGAAGTAGGGAGTGAGAATCTCAAGGTGGAGATGAAAACAAGCCACGAGGGAAGCAGGTTCGAGACCCCCGTCCATAGAGAAGTGGCGCATGCGACCGAGCTCATGGGGCAGAGGAGCAGGCTTCCCAGCCCATGCGATGAGTAAAGCTGACAGCCTCTGGGCAGGAGCCTGGCTTGCAGAGTGGGGTGTCCTTGGGGCATTGATCAGCAATGAAAGGCTTTTGCACGGTGTCAAGCAAACGCATGAACCATTCTTCTTCTTCTTCTTCGTTTTTTAGGAGCCCTGGTGGTACAGTGCTCACATGGTGGCTGCTCACCACAAGGTCAGAAGTTCAAGAAAATCACCAGCCCCTCTGCCCCTCTCTAGTCTATTGAAGAGCTACCATAATGAGTCTCTAGGAGTCTGAACGGGCTCAATGGCCATGAGTTGTGTTTTGAGATAAGAACTTTGTAACACTGGCTGGAGCTAGGACAGAGGACAGGGGGTTTGGTGACTGAGGTCCTGAGACAGACACGCCTGCAAGTATGGCTGAGGAGAAGCACCGTGGAAAAAATAGCTGTATCCTTAAGCTTTCCGATCCCGACGTTTAACCTGTTAAGCAGCCTCATCTACCCCATGATCCTGAGTGTTGTATTGTCTGTGAGTTGTGTGTGTCCATGCCGAGGACTGAGGAGCCTAGCAGAGGAGCAGAGAGCAGGGGGAGGGGCAGCTGGTATCACAACAGGGTAAAGAAGTTAGTGGCTGGAGGCAGGGTTGGCCTTGGCGGTATTCCTAGGGACTGGCCATACTCCCTGCTCTGAAGTCACAGGAGGACAGCTGTGCTCTGCACTCCATTTTCTCACTCATAAATCATTATGATCTCCTTATTGTAAAAAACGACACCATTTTTCTTTTAATTTTTTTCTCACTACAATTCATAGGCCAGTTCCCCATGAGTCCTGCATTTGGCATAGGGAGCATCTCCCAGCCCTTCTCTTTTCCAGTAACCGACATTGTAGGCGCTTCACTAGCAACACGAGTTTTAGGTTAGAGATCTCTTCACCGTAGGACAGCTAAAACATTTTTTATTCCTAAATATGTTATGAGGCACCTGGGCATCGGCTGATCCTCCACAAGGCTGACTGACAAGGTTCAACAAGGTGACCGTTCCGAGGCCGGTGCAGGGCTGGCACGGGCTTCGTTCTGTGGCATGCAGGGTGTGTTCAGGGTCTCTGAACTGGCAATAACTGACAGCATGTAACAAACAACCACAACTGGGCCCTCTCTGGGAATTCTTCACACATCTTCGTATTTGAAAGGATTCATGGAGGGCTTGTGGGATGAAACCAGCGAGAACTCAGGGTTAGGCAAGAAGAGACAGAGAAATTTAAAAAAAATCCAGAAAGAGACCACTTGCTATGACGTGGTTAACTGATTGTGAGGATTTGAACCAAGACTATGGCAAAAGGGTGAAGGAAGAGGAAAGTGCATGTGTGGGTGGGGTAGGGGGGAGGATACAAGAGAACTTCAAAAGGTCTGTGGGAAAATTCCAGGAACTTTTGATTTTCCCATGAACTCTCTGAAGCCCCCTCGTGGAGGAGGTAAAATCAACAGAACTTCCGTGTGCAGAACAAATGATGCTGAGACTGGCTCGGGGCTCTAGCTATGAAACAGGGTCGATGGGTGTCATGCACACCTGAAGACCATCAAAGGAAGGCTAGATTTTCCAGGGAAGGGGCAGGTGTACTGTGTATTGAGGTATTAGACCTGAGGAGTTTATACACGATATCCATGATAGAGGAGGTTGAAAGGTATAAAAAGCAATTGAAGAACTCAGTGTAATCCTCTGGTAGATCCAGACAGCTAACCAGACAAGCCCACACGAGCCCCATCAACTGGCTGCGGGATCAGATGGCTGGTCAGGCAAACAGACGGTCCACAGCTGGGACATGACAAGGCGAGCCCCCAGTAACTGATGTCCTGTGAGGACAGCAATAGCCCGGAGACCCTTTCAGTTCTTCTCCCACCACCGGCATCATTCATGACTTCCTTTCTTTTAACAAGTCTACCATCGCGTGACTACAGAAAGGGTCAAGGACATAATGCATTAAGTCCATTGTTTCGGCCTCTACTTTCAGAGAGATTTTGTAAAGGGACCCAGGACTCCTCAAACACAGCCCATGTAGCTAACTCGTAACAAGGGGTTTTCTCGGTAGAACGGCATGCCTGGTGGCTTTCACTTTCCATGTTCCCCATTTCACGTTACCTTTCGCAGGGCATTTGCTTGATTATCTTGTTACAAGCATAATAGAGTGGGCGTGTAACACAATCCTTTTAAAAGGTTCTATTAAGTGTCATCATTGGCTCATGGGATGGACTTCAGAAAGTTGTTTTTATTAGTTTTTTGATCTGAAAAATGGACTTCAATCTGGCTCATCTGCAAAGACTTCTTGCTAATGGAATAGAGAGAGCTTTCAAAATAAATTCCTGTCTTAACAAGACCCAAGGTACATAAAAAATGAAAGAATAATTGGCTCTTTGGAACCGCACGGTTTTAAACCATGTATGATCTAAATGTTCTTTCAGAGATAGTGAGCATGGGTGGTGGTGGCGGCAACAGAACAAAAGTGACACACATGCAGTGGATGCACTTTGGAAACTGAGAAAGCACGATGGGTTGATGACAGTGTCCAGCTGTGTGTGCCGCTCCTGCCAAGAGTCGGCGTTCCAATGACACTCACTGACAGCCAGTTCTGACCAACTGCCATAAAGCAGGCCTTTAGTGAAAGGAGAAGATTAGGATTTTCAAGGCCTGAGAGGAGGCAGGATTGATCCCCTAATTCATTTCTTCATTCAATATACATTGTATCTAGAACATATGCTGTGCCTAATAGCAACACAGGCTAATGATTCTGGTACTTAATAGTTTCATGATGCTTTAAGCACAATATTTCTCTCTAGGGATACTAAGTTTTCAACAGTGGATGCTAATTTGGGCCCATTCTTTAAGGTTGGTGGTCTGGGGTGCAGTGAAAGGTCCTAAGTTACTTTGAGCTAGATGTAGTTTGGGAGAAGGAGGGGGCTTTCGACTTCCACAGCGTTGGTCTTGAAAGCGCACAGGGACAGTTTTACCCTGTACAGCAGGGTAGCTAGGAGCTGGCAGCCCCTGGATGGCAGGGAGTGGGAGATGTCAGAACACCCTGGGCCATGGGTTCTGCCTCCAGCAATCCATTGCACACATGGAGGCCACCCTGAACTCACCTGTAAAACGAGGGGCTTAGGGATCCCCCGAGAGCCCCTTCAGCCACTAGCAGTCTCTAACCCTGAGTTTATCACTGACAGGATCACTAAAACAGGGTTGGTGAGGGTCAGCCCGACACTTGCTCTGTGGGCTACAGTTTCTTCCAACCTAACCGACCTTTCAGAGAAGTACTGTGGCTACATTGACTCTAATGAGGTGCGTGGCAGCACCCGGGTTCCTTTAGATTCAGAGTAGTCACCGTACACAGGATTCTCCTACCTGTGAACCTTGATGGGACAGTGAGCCTTATCTCTCTCCCTCAGTCAGCCGTGGGTTTGAACCACTGACCTCGCAGTGAGCACTCTAACATTTACCAGGGCTCCTTAGGACCACAGTATATATTTATGAGGAAAATGCTAGTACTAGATGGTCAAAATATCTCTCATCTTCTGCACTACCACACAGGTCTCACAGTTCCATGTCATGTATGAACTAGCCATACGTGTTTAAGCACTGAAAGAAAGCAGCAGCTGCTCATCGATGCCTTCAATAGTCCGTGTGCTGCACATTCGTTCTTATCTGATGCCCTGGAGTTCTTATTCAATCACAGCCCCACGGTGAGGGGAGAGAAGAGCGAGGTTCTACCATCTGTGAAGAGGCCTGGTGGAGGCATGGCTGCCTGGAAACGTCAGCTCCCTCTCAGCACGAAGACCAAAGCTAAGCTATGGGCTCCTTATCTGCAATGCCCTTTGACTCTGTTCCTTATCCCAGCTGGGGCACTTTTGAGAGTCAACAGCCGTCATGACAAATGGGATGATATCTCCCCATTTTCCAGGCATACTCTTTGTGACCTTTGCAGCCCTCTCAAGGCCTGAGGGGAAGGGGAATGTGAAGCAAGATTTTATCCCAATGATTTAAAAATATCGCTTGTGCTTTTTTAGGGAATGCAAAAAGATTATTTATGTTTGGTCAAACATAGTCATGTTACTTATTATAATAAACACTTGCATTTTTATTATTATAGCACATGATTTAAAACAAGGGGTTGCAAAAAAATGTGTTTTTGTTTCCTATAAAGGGACAAGCAGTAAACGTCTTTGGCTTCGCAGGCCACAGGATCTGTCACAACCACTGAAGTTGACCCTTGTAGTGCAAGGGCATTCACAGACAACAGACATGTAAAGTGTTAGCATGGCCGCACTCTGAGAAATCTTGATTTATAGAAACTGGCAGTGGGCTGACCTAGGTCCACTTGCCAACTCTGGCTTTAGGACAATGGTTCCCAGACTTGGAATTTATAGAAGAATCCTGAGAATCGACTCCAAATTTTGGACTTGTGATTTTGTTAAGCAATGGATTAAAAAAAAAATCCATTGCTTACTTAGAGATCTCAATTCCTCAGTGTTTAAGCACTGCACAATCCAGGAAGGGCACGACTTTGAGTAGCTTTATGGAGAACCAACTATGTTGCCCAGTCTTTACAAATGTTTGCTTTTCTTGGTGAGCACTCTGCCGTGACTACGCCGAGGCTGGTGGATGGTCCCTGGGTTGCCTGACCTCCACTGGGTGTAGTGCCATGGAAAGAGCGGAGCATTTAAATGAGAAGATCCGAGTTTGCATAAGGTTGTGGGAATACTGACAAGGGAGGGAGGAACAGACCTTCAATGGGACACAACTCCTGGGAAAGAGGGTCTCCATCTGGACTATCGGCTGCAAACAAAAGTCCCCCACTGAGTGACCCCCAAACTCACCAGCTGCCATTGTGCAGAGTACCAGGCTGGAGGGCAATTGAATCGGTTACAGGCTTGCACCGTGCTGGGCTTGGGCTGGGGACACAGCTCGTCAGCCAGGGTCACTGTCTCATTCATCTCCCTGGAGAGCAGGTGAGAGCAGTGGACGTCTCTGGTTTGCAGGCCAACCCCACAGGTGAGGCCACAGGGACTCCACTTGCCAACTTCCCACCTGAGAAGCAATTCAAGAGGAAGAAGCAGCTGTTAATTTGTGTGCAGTACATTTCCTGTGAAGTCAAGCGCTCCGTATGGACTAAACACACCCATCTGGGAATGTGCAGAGTTCCAGAAGAAGATCTGCCTGGAATTCTATCCCAAACCCAGAAGCGAGGGTCTCCCTTCATGCTCCCAAATTCCTGCTACTCATAGGAGAAAGCAAAGTGGGTGAGCACGGGGTATTATGCTCACAATCCTGTCTGCTTTGATTGAATGAAGGCACCTCTTCAAAAGAGGAGGATCTGCTAGATGAGATGTGGGATTAGTACATGGGGCTTTGGACACCACACCCTGAACGGCGGGTCTAGAACAGGGGTTGGTAAACTGCAGCTCCTACAGGTGGCTCTAAAGTCAAGTTGAAAAAATGTCAAGGATATTCTTGGGATAATAGTGAGTTCATTTGTTTGTGACCATACATTTATGGCTGCCGAATCATTGTTGAATGTTGTGAGGGACAGGATGAACTCTTCCGTCTTAAAAGCTTGCTGAGCCCTGGTCTACATTTCTTTTTGTTCATCTCTCTGGTCTCAAAATTCTTAGCAAGACAGAAAAATTCATGATTGCTTTTCTTTGGCTTCAAAGCGAAAGGTCATTGGCCGCAACTCTTTTTAAACTTCCATCAGAGTAGAGAAATGTCTCTGTCTTGTGTATAAAGATCATCACTGGCGGGGGCTGGCTAATGTAAGCAGAGTGAAGGCTGCTAAGCAGATCAGTGTCTGGAGGGAGAAGAGGGGAGAGAGGGCCTATTATCTGGAGGAAGAAGTCAAGCACGCAGAGGAGTGCCTGCACTGGCCGATTCCTTAGGGCCCGGCTGGAGAAGTGCAAGGGTAGGGAGCTACGGAGAAGATGTAAACCATCCCGCTGCAGTTCTCTGATCCAGGCTCCACTTTGGGCATGGCAAGGTCGGAGGCTCAGTTGCTTGGGCCGTGAGTCAGAAGGGATCACTCATAATCTGTTTTAGAAGGTTTTGTTCACAACCTGAGAGCCCAAGATTCTACACACAGGACTTAGCCAAGAAAAGCATGGTCAGCGAGTCTTTGGTAGCTAGGCTTGCCTCACTTGTAGTCAGCTCTGAAAATTGGCTTAAAAATCATTAATGTTTTCATCAGACCATAAAAATGAACATATACGCTTATCAACTGCTTCTTGCTACTCTGACGTGTAACTACCTTTCCGCTACCTGCTTTCATCTTGCCTATGGTTAAGCCGTATCCATAAGGAATTATTTTCTGATCCTCAATTCCGGCCGCATGCTTTTTCTTACTCTGACTTTACTCCAGCACTTGCTCCGTGGAATGCCTTTTGTCCTTTCCTTGCCCCTCAGCATTCTTTCCAGCTCCACCTGTCAGGATGCGATCCACTTCGTGGACTGCAGCCAGACCTTCTCTAGACACTGATCATGTCGCCCATTACATTAGCTATTCTGCCTGTCAAGGGCCTTCTAGCTAAAGCGTGCACTTTCTTAACAGCAGAGTCAACGTCTGAGTCAGTTACATATTGCAGCACTTTCTAGATCAGTGGTTCTCAACCTGTGGGTCCCGACCCCTTTGGGGGTCGAATGACCCTTTCACAGGGGTTGCCCAATTCCTAACAGTAGTAAAATTACAGTTATGAAGTAGCAACAAAAATAATTTTATGGTTGGGGGGGGTCACCACAACATGAGGAACTGTATTAAAGGGTCACAGCATTAAGGAGGTTGAGAAACACTGTTCTAGATCATTAGCTAATCAGTACCTCATTAGTAAACAAAAGAACGGACCTGATAATATTGTGGTAGGCACTGAGCATGCATTAACCTCTTTAATTCTCTGTAGAACAAGAGGTCAGCTCAATTGGTTTTCCTCTTTTTACAGTTGGGAGAATCTGAACATCTAAGAGGAGGACTTGCTCAATGACCCGCCGTTAGGAAGTTGTGGGTTCAGGACTCATACTTGACTGTCTCTGGCTCCCAACAGTCCGTTCCTTCTCATCTCCAGGAAACACCTCGAAAACCCTCTTTTTAAAATCGTTTTATTAGTGGCTCATACAATTCATCACAATCCATACATACATCAATGGTGTAAAGCACATTTGTACATTCATTGCCCTCATCATTCTCAATACATATCTTCTCAACTTAAGTCCCCGGCATTAGGTCCTCATTTTCCCCCTCCCTCCCCGCTCCCCACTCCCTCATGAGCCCTTGATAATTTATAAATTATTATTTTGTCATATCTTGCCCTGTCCGACGTCTCCCTTCACCCACTTTTCTGTTGTCTGTCCCCCAGGTAGGGGGTCACATATAGTTCCTTATAATCGGTTCCAACCCACTCTCCCTCTACCCTCCCAGTATCGCCACTCACACCACTGGTCCTGAAGGGATCATCCACCCTAGATTCCCTGTGTTCGAAAACCCTCTTGTAAATACTCATCACATGTTACACAAACAGGAGAGTTCTATGAGCATTTCTCTAAGCTGTAATATATTTTTTAATTTAATTACTTTATTTGGAGTTCTTATGGATATTATAGCATTCCACGGTTCAGTTAGATCAAGCATAATCGTACAATTGCTACCACAACCATTTTCCAAAAATTTGCTTTCTACTTGAATTCTTTGATATCAGCTCCCCTCTATCTCCTCCCAAGCTGTAATACTTTTGTGAGTCAGAATCGACTCGAGCGTGGCGAGTTTGCCTGGCTGTGGGTGTTATCTGTGGACCTCTAGCCCGGGTACCGGCGGCAGAGTGAGTTAGGGGATGGGTTGCTACCCACCAGGCGAGTAGTGAAAACTCACCAGCCCCTTTGTAGGATGAAGATGAGAGCTCTCTCGCCCCAGCAAGATATCCAGCCTTGGTAACCCACCCGGCACTTCTGCCCTGTCCTGATGGCACCTCTGAGCCATAATTGACCTGATGATGGGCAGAGTTGGCTTGGAGTTTTGAACGTTTGGTAGAGACAGCCCTGAGGACGCAGTGGTTCAGAGCGCTGCTTCAATCTAATAGGCTGGTGGCTTAAAACCCAGCTGCTGCTCGGAGGGAGGAAGATGTCATAGCACAGGCAGCTTCCAGAACGACCTACAGCTTTGGGAGCCTCATCTGGGCAGCTCTCTTCTGTCCTGTAGGGCAGCTCGGAGTCAGACTCAGCTTGGCACCCCTGAGTGTTTCGCATCGGGAGAGTCGACATGGTCAGGTGTTGGTTGACTTGCTGAAAGGGGAGTGGGAGAACCCGTCCAGAGACATCTCAAAAGAAAGCCCGGACAATCTGCTTCCAAAAGGTCACCGCCCGGAAAGCCTAACGGAGCACAGTCCTCCCGACATGCCTAGGTTGTCATGAGTCCGAGGTGGACTTGACGGGGTTGCTTGCCCGTGGAAGCGTGAGATGACGCCCATGTTTAACATGCTGCTCCTATCTTCTTTCCTTCCGAAGAGGGAGCCTCGGATGCGGTCCTGACTCAGTGGCCCGCTTCTAGTGAACAGAATGTGGCAGAAGCTGTGTGACGTGGATCTCCACGGTCACTACGGGGAAAGCATGACAGCTCCCACTGGGCTCTCTCTCGTGGAACGCTCGCTCTGGGGAAGGAGGGCAAAGGCGCCGCCTTCCCGAACATCCAGAGTCATGGGAATCGTGGTGTCTCACCAACCTTCAGCCACAGCTGGGCAGTCCTGGGCGTGGTCCACCTCATGAGCGCCCTTGAGCAAGAACCACCTACCCAAGCTACTCCCAGATTCCTCACTTATGTCAACTGAGAAGAACAGGCGCATCAGGCGAGAGTTAGCATCTTTGTCGGCTACTAAATTCTGGGAATATGTATATGCAGCAATGCAACTAACACAATTCTACACCTCCCCCCAAGCATGCACACAGTCATCAAAGGATGTACACAAAAGACTATCCAGAGCACACTATTGATCATGAGTTAACATTATGAATATTACTATTCATCATAACTTAAAACCAGAAACAACCAAAATGAATGGATCAAACCACGAGGGCAATTCATACGATACTATATAAACCAAGGGGAAGAAACTGCACTTACAAAACCAAAAACCAAACAGATGCATCCATCTTAGTATTTCGTGAAGGAAGCATTTCACTAAATACGGAGTATTAGTGCACAAAGTCACACATAACAAGCACTCATCCTGCGTGACTTCGTTTAGATAAAGTTCAAATGGCGAACGACTCTTCAGTGTTACAAGGCAGGGTGCTGGCTGCCTTTGGTGGATAGCAGCCAGAAAAAGGGCCTAAGTGGGGTGGGGTGGGGTGGGGAGAGGGGCCCCTGGCTGCCATTCTTCCCCCATGCTTTCCTCTGGGTCCCATCTCTGGGAAAGCTCCACACTACACACTTCTGATTTGTGTACATTTTCATTCAGTCTGCCCTCCTTCAAGATGTATAGACACACACGTTTAAACTCTTCCGTGAAAAACAAAGCGTCGTGGACAAGAAACAAGACTCAATAACCAGGCACGACACTCAGGCCCGCCAAGGAGCAGCCTGCAGAATCCGTGCTCTCCCAAGGTCAAAGTGTGGCCCTGCTGGGGCTTTGCAGCCCTGCCCTCCATCCCACACTCTTGGCGAACATCCAGCCTCCGGGCCCTTGAAGTAGAGGCCTTTTGGCAGCCAGGAGGCCAGTCAGTGCTACTGGGGAGAACTGCGCACGGTAGATAGCTCTGTCTCCTCCCGACTAAAGCACAGGGCATTCTCAAGGAAGGATGCACTAGGCCATTTCCAAGCCTCCCATGCTCTGACCACCACATTCTCCTCTCAACTCTTTGGGTGACGAAACCAGACCCGAATGAACATGATGCTCTGGAAAGGCTGTCTTCCACTTAAGTCTAAATACTTATACGTTTTCCTGCAGAAATAGCAGCCTCTTAGATTAGTGGAAGGTAGGTGTTCATGCACACCTGCTCTCCAGAAGCAAAGCATGTATTGGTGCAAGAATGAAACATTTGAAAAGGATTTCATA